AGTTAGTGTTCCATGCAATGCAAATAGAATCAACAAATAAGATTTAAAAAAAAAAACAAGTACCGAACTCTCAAGGCCATAAATAAATTAAAAGAAAAAAATGCAAGAAATGAAATTGAAAATGAGAACAACAATTAAAGATATAAAATCACACACCGACAAAAAAATGTGCAGGCAACGTGCATCACTCGTAACAGAAAATGTAATGTACATGAAAAGTCGTGAACGATGCGAAGTACCTGACAGGCTGACACTAATATCACACATGCAAATGCAACATGATACAATGTATCCTACTGCTAATGCACACCACATGTCGAAAAAAATACAAGAAACAATAGTCTACAAGTCGTGTCGTAGCTGCCTAAATGATACAAGAACAAAAAAAATACTGTACAGTCTGAACTCAGTCTGCTGCAACCGACGACACTCTACGAACACCCTACTCAGCCTACTGACACCAAAATCATACTCTACGAACACCCTACTGCTACCAAAATCATACACACCAACAAGTAAAGCACGCACACAACCACTGAGTGTCAAACAATAATGAGACAAGACGAGACGACTCAGACTACCAAAAAAACTCCCGGGGTCATACCCGCTATGGCCGGACCGAGCTCCTCCGTGAGGAACTGCTGCATGAGGCGCTCGTCATCGCCCCCACGCTGCACCTCGGCCTGTGCGGCTATCTCCTCCTCCACTGTCGCTGCCGACAGTGCCGCCTCCTCCTCCACTGCTACTGCCACCTCAACCTCCACTGCTGCTGCTCCTCCACCTGCTCCTCCTGCTGCTACCACCTGCCCCTCCACTGTTGCACCTCCTCCTGCCGCTGGTGGATCCTCCTCCAGCACTGATGCTGCCATCTCCTCCAGCACTGATGCTGTTGCTATCTCCTCCACCGCGGCCGCGATCGTCGCGTCCGGCACCGCCGCTGGTGCCACCGAACTCTCCACTGCTGCTGCCAAAGGTGCCCCCTCCTCCTGCAATATCCCCGGGGAAGGTGATCATAACCTAAGCTGGCGGACTGCCCCGCCTCTGTGGAGAAGGCGGTGCTGAGGCAAAGAGGATCCCAACTCCTCCCTGTCCGGCTGAAGTGGCGAGACGGGCGATCGTGGTGCAGGACTCGGAGCAGGAGGTGGCGGCATGGACGAATCCCGCCTTGTCGGAGTGGGGGTCGTCGCCTCCGCCTCTGGGCCGCCCGTGGAAGCGACCTCACCGAATGGGCCCCAAAAGTCCTCGTCTCCCCCCAGCATCTCCCTCTCCGCCCGGTCCGCCGCCCGTCGTGCAGTCTGTGCCCTTGTCTCCTCGGAGTCGGGATCCTCGTGCGTCTCGTTGATCTCCCGGGGAATGCGGAGCGCAGGGTCATCTGCCGCTACAGGTATCGGCTCCTCGTCTGAGTCGTCCTCCCTAGGGTAGGGACGAAAAATGCAAGCACGTCTATCGAAAACGGCATCAGCCGAGGGTGGTGTGGACGCCCCGATGGGATCCCGGGTAATAAGTGCAACCTGACGGGCAATCTCCTCGTCCGTGGTCCCCCTGCGTATCCCCGTGCGCACAAGCAATCCAGCATGCCCTCGTCCCGCTGCCATGGCAGCACATAACCGTATCCAGCCCGCCGATACTCAGTCAACCGCAGATTTGCGGTGATCTCAACGAGTTGCACGACCTTCTCGAAGACCAACTGGTTGCGCTTCTTCGTGTGAATGCCCCCGTGGACTGCCCAGTTCCTCTCCGCTGGAGAGGCGCAAGACCACATGTGCATCATCCGAAGAGCGCAATGCTGCAATTTTGGCGCGCGAGCCCCGTACTGAGACCACCAAGACGCGCACTCAATCGTCTCGCTCTTGCCACTCCACGCGCGCCCACGAGCACGCCCCTCCGGACCGCCCCAATCCCCAAACCTGCCCTGCTGAATGTGGAAGTCCTCAAACTGCCGACATGCAAGGATGTACTCCGCACCCTCCAACTCGAATCCCGTCTGCGTCAAAAAGTACCTCTTGGCTTGCCCCACAAGCCAAGCATCGTACCGCTCCACCTTCCCCGAAAAGTAGCGAACGTGTCGCCTGCGGGGGTTCAGTAAGAACCCTGCGCATAAGCCGGCTCAAGCATGTGCTGTATGCGAGCCTGCACACACCTGATGATCCGGTCGGCAAACGACTTCCCCAAAGGGGCGCATGCGACCGTGACATGGCGGACAAGATCCTGCGTCCACTCGATCATGAGGGACATGTACTGTCCTCCACGATCCATCCGCCTGAGCAACTCCATGATGGGCTACATGATATGGACGATGGTGGCCACCCTCTGCCACCATGGATCCCATCTGATCTGTCGGCGCACCCAACGCGCCATGACGCACACATCGGCGGACCACGGGATGGACGCAAAAGCCCGCGCGTCGTCCCCTCGCATCATGTCCTGCAGAGTGTCCTGCAGGGCCAACAGCCTCTCCAGCATGGAGTAAACAGACGCGAACCGCGTCTCGCAAGAAAGAATAAGCCCCTTGTCGGGGCTACGCGTCCTAAAAAAATGAAGGGCGGTCTAGTGGGTTTTGAAAAACACCACCAGCACACGAGCGCGTGTGATTGCGTCCACAAACGCGTCGCAACTCGTCCCCATGTCTGACAACAATTTGTTGCAGACATGGACGGAGCACGGGAGCCAAGTGATCCTCCTCAGTGCAGGAGGTATGGACGGCGATGTCAATGCCCTCGCTGCCCCCACATATGCAAGCGGAGTCAGTGCATATCGCATTGATCCGCTGCGGCCCGCCGAAGCTGAACTCGTGGAAGATGGTAACCCATCTCCGAAGGACGTGCACTGCATCGTCCGCCTCGCCCTCTCGATTGATTGTCGTGTACACGACGACCCCTCGAGAGCCAGCAGCAAGGAAATTCACAATCGGTCTCCCGTCTCGTGATTTCCTCCCATCGGAGAGGAGGGTGGCACCAGTCACCCAGAATGGCTGCCTCACCTCCTCCAACTCCTCCGCCAACTGCGCACGGTGGGTCTCCACCGCCCGCATACTCGCAATCTCGCAGTGGTTGGGAGCACTGCGCGCGGGGAACTGCCAGGCTGCTCAAGAAGCACCTGCTGATATGCCTTTCACGCCTGGTTGCGGAAGGCATTGAATGAGACCCCGCTGGAATACAACCAGCGAAGGAATGCCTTCTTGTGGCGAGCAACCCACTCGCCACCGTAGACATCAGTCACCTTCTGCTGGCGAAGCCTCTTCCCTGCTCGGGTGGCAGCCGGATCACTCCCTCCTTCCTTCCTCTTGGAAGACCCCTCCGTTGCAGCTCCCTTGCCTGCTCGCCTCCGCCACTCCTCCAACCTCTCGCCAGTGCCTGGATAAAACTTAGGCACGTCCTCCCGTTCCGGGACTCCCTCCTCACCCGGGCCACGCGCCTTGCAATCCACGTGGATCACGCCCTCCTCTCCGTCTCACCGCCTCCACCACCCAAAGTGGGGTCTGCCGCACCATGCCCACCATCTCCCCCGACCCCTCCCTCCGCCGGATGCTGCCCCGCCTCTCCTCCCCTTGCACCACCCGTGCCGGGAACATCGAGTCCGAGCTCCGCTGCATACCTCGCAACCCTGTCCATCTGATCGGCCTCGAACTTCTGTTGAGTCCGTCGAGCAATCTCGTACCACGCCTCGTCGATGACGTCCTTGCAGTAGTTTGTCTGCGAGAAGTGCCTCGTGGCCTGAAACTGAGTCCCCTGGAAAACTTTGTTGCAAAACGTGCAACGGAGCATCATGGCCCCCTTATTGTCGACCTTCTGGCAGACAACCAGGTACTGATAGACAGGGGAGCGGGCCCTGAATGTGTTCTGCACATAGTCCGCGGCAGCCTCATGCTTACGACGTTGTGCCCTCCCCATGTCGGTCACCCTGGCGAGACAACCCTCGCTGACTCCCCCCGACCGCACCGCTGCAACCCAAC